CACTTTAGCCACCGGGCCACAAAAATATTTTTTTTTCCCAAACCATCAATAACAAAGATTTATGTTCGCTACTTTGCTACAAAAAAAAATATAGCATCCATAAAGAGAAAAAGTTAAATTAGAGAATGAGAGATGTTGGTATAAGTAGTGTGGCGTGTGGTGTTGTAAAGTACTTGTTATCTAGCCAAACATCCTTACAGCTGTGATACCAACATTGTTGTCCTCCTCCGTCCTACCATCTTCCTTCATTATTACCAACACTAAGCTACTTTACTTCTCTCGTTCTATGGAATGGTTGTATCGCATTTTATACTCTATAGTTTTTATATATCTAAATTTTTAATCATATATTTTATTGAATTTGTCCTCAATAAATAAAATGTAACTGTTTGTTATGAAGCGGTGAAAGAAGTTATTTAACTTGGATTTGAACACTGAAGTGTTCTCAGCGGCTGACACTTGGATACACTTGTGACCAACTGCAAGAATTATGTACATAAATCGCTCAGAGAACCTACAGTTCATTAATTTGACACATGTGCAACATTTGGATATCTTTATTGCTGAAACGTTTCGCCACACAGTGGCTTCATCAGTCCAATACCAAGAAGAATGAAGATCAGGAGTAGTTTGAGGTAATCAGTCTCTTAGCCTGGAGTCGATTACATCGGCTCCAGGCTGAGGGACTGATTACCTCAAATTCCTTTTGATCTTCACCAGTTTTCTTTGTACTGGACTGATGAAGTCAGTGTGTGTCGAGACGTTTTCACAATAAACATGCACAAGTGTTGCACATCTGTCTAATTTATAAAGAATTATTATACTGTGCAAGACCAGCCTGAGGTCAGATTAATATTAACAGCCTCATCAACTATGATGTTTGTAAATTTGCTGAGCTTGTCAATAATGCCTCTTTATATAATACACATTCAATACACACTTTGCTTTGTAATATGGCAAAAACACAGTGTATATTATATAAAGAATGTACATTATAGAGCAGAGGTCGGAGAACGTTTTTCTGGGTATTACCCCAAAACAAGTTTGTGTACAGCGGAATTATCCACTAGGCTAAACATAATTTGTTTGAAAAATATCTTTCATAATTTGCTTCGCTTATTAAATAATAATTTTTTTTGCGCAATTTTATTTTATGTTTACTGAACCTTCATTACCCCCAAGATTTTAATTTTTATCCCATTTGGGGTAATTTACCTTGGTTCCCGGACCTCTGTTTACCTGGAGAGAGTTCCGGGGGTCAACGCCCCCGCGGCCCGGTCTGTGACCAGGCCTCCTGGTGGATCAGAGCCTGTGACAACAGGTCTATTATCAATCTTCAGAATGTTGGTTGCAGTGAGAGAGAGAGAGAGAGAGAGAGAGAGAGAGAGAGAGAGAGAGAGAGAGAGAGAGAGAGAGAGAGAGAGAGAGAGAGAGAGAGAGAGAGAGAGAGAGAGAGAGAGAGAGAGAGAGAGAGAAGAGAGAGAGAGAGAGAGAGAGAGAGAGAGAGAGAGAGGAGAGAGAGAGAGAGAGAGAGAGAGAGAGAGAGAGAGAGAGAGAGAGAGAGAGAGGAGGGAACAACGCTGGGTGAGTGAGAAGTCAGTGGAAGAAACCATACCCCCGGCCGGGCTGGAACCCGCGGTCATAGAGTCTCAAAACTCCAGCCCGTCGCGTGTCATTACGATTTCTTGAGCCAGTCAGTGGAAGGTCTGGGTCCGACAGTCCTCTCTGACCTGTCCTCCCAATGATTACTCTCAGATATTCCTGCAGTTCGTGAGCATGTCGCAACTCCTTCAAAATTGCACATTAAAAATAATTTGTTTTACAAAATTAAGGTTAGGGTTAGATCAATATTATTTTAGACATGGGGAAGCGCTAAAGACGTACGTGATCACACAGCGCATGTGGAATGAGAAGTAATCATACTTAAACGGAGGAAGAGCACCCCCACTTTCTTGGATCAAAAGCTCTTTACCAGCATAAGACCACTCTCCCCTTGAGGTTGTCATTGGTGCTTAGTAAGTACACTATTGACATGACTGGTTAATATTTATCTTATTTTAGTATCAAAGTAAAAAAAAATGGAAGTATCTGCGGAGCCACTTCAAAAGTTAAGACAAGTGTGAAGGACAAAGTGAGGAAGGAGCAGCATTACTGAAGGATGACAGAGAAGTGTGAGGAGAGCTTAAGACTGAAGGTCTTCACAGTAGTAGTAGGAAGCTGTGTGACTGTCAACTGCTAAGTCATGCAACTCCAACAGCGACTAGACAACATCAACACAGGTGATAAAAACAGACCAACAGGAACTAGAAAACATTAACACAACAAAAGCGAACGAAAGTGATGAAAGTAGTAAAGCAGTGTGACACAAGACACATGATGTGGCACAACCACTGTTACTAGTGTGGTCTCTACACATACATGTAGGCAAGATAAAAGTCCATGAGACATGCTACAAATATTAGTTACGAATTAAGACTTGAAGCACTAAAAATATATTCCTTGTGTGATAAGAGAAACACGGGGAAAATATGCAATAGAGTAATAAACTATCAGTACTAGAAACAGGAGGTAGGTGGTACACTCAGTACTAGAAACAGGAGGTAGGTGGTACACTCAGTACTAGAAACAGGAGGTAGGTGGTACACTCAGTACTAGAAACAGGAGGTAGGTGGTACACTCAGTACAAGAAACAGGAGGTAGGTGGTACACTCAGTACTAAAACAGGAGGTAGGTGGTACACTCAGTACTAGAAACAGGAGGTAGGTGGTACACTCAGTACTAGAAACAGGAGGTAGGTGGTACACTCAGTACTAGAAACAGGAGGTAGGTGGTACACTCAGTACAAGAAACAGGAGGTAGGTGGTACACTCAGTACTAGAAACAGGAGGTAGGTGGTACACTCAGTACTAGAAACAGGAGGTAGGTGGTACACTCAGTACTAGAAACAGGAGGTAGGTGGTACACTCAGTACTAGAAACAGGAGGTAGGTGGTACACTCAGTACTAGAAACAGGAGGTAGGTGGTACACTCAGTACTAGAAACAGGAGGTAGGTGGTACACTCAGTACTAGAAACAGGAGGTAGGTGGCACACTCAATACTAGAAACAGGAGGTAGGTGGCACACTCAATACTAGAAACAGGAGGTAGGTGGCACACTCAGTACTAGAAGCAGGAGGTAGGTGGCACACTCAGTACTAGAAACAGGAGGTAGGTGGTACACTCAGTACTAGAAACAGGAGGTAGGTGGTACACTCAATACTAGAAACAGGAGGTAGGTGGTACACTCAATACTAGAAACAGGAGGTAGGTGGTACACTCAGTACTAGAAACAGGAGGTAGGTGGTACACTCAGTACTAGAAACAGGAGGTAGGTGGTACACTCAGTACTAGAAACAGGAGGTAGGTGGTACACTCAGTACTAGAAACAGGAGGTAGGTGGTACACTCAGTACTAGAAACAGGAGGTAGGTGGTACACTCAGTACTAGAAACAGGAGGTAGGTGGTACACTCAGTACTAGAAACAGGAGGTAGGTGGTACACTCAGTACTAGAAACAGGAGGTAGGTGGTACACTCAGTACTAGAAACAGGAGGTAGGTGGTACACTCAGTACTAGAAACAGGAGGTAGGTGGTGCACTCAGTACTAGAAACAGGAGGTAGGTGGTACACTCAGTACTAGAAACAGGAGGTAGGTGGTACACTCAGTACTAGAAATAGGAGGTAGGTGGTACACTCAGTACTAGAAACAGGAGGTAGGTGGTACACTCAGTACTAGAAACAGGAGGTAGGTGGTACACTCAATACTAGAAACAGGAGGTAAGTGGTACACTCAGTACTAGAAACAGGAGGTAGGTGGTACACTCAGTACTAGAAACAGGAGGTAGGTGGTACACTCAGTACTAGAAACAGGAGGTAGGTGGTACACTCAGTACTAGAAACAGGAGGTAGGTGGTACACTCAGTACTAGAAACAGGAGGTAGGTGGTACACTCAGTACTAGAAACAGGAGGTAGGTGGTACACTCAGTACTAGAAACAGGAGGTAGGTGGTACACTCAGTACTAGAAACAGGAGGTAGGTGGTACACTCAGTACTAGAAACAGGAGGTAGGTGGTACACTCAGTACTAGAAACAGGAGGTAGGTGGTACACTCAGTACTAGAAACAGGAGGTAGGTGGTACACTCAGTACTAGAAACAGGAGGTAGGTGGTACACTCAGTACTAGAAACAGGAGGTAGGTGGTACACTCAGTACTAGAAACAGGAGGTAGGTGGTACACTCAGTACTAGAAACAGGAGGTAGGTGGTACACTCAGTACTAGAAAACAGGAGGTAGGTGGTACACTCAGTACTAGAAACAGGAGGTAGGTGGTACACTCAGTACTAGAAACAGGAGGTAGGTGGTACACTCAGTACTAGAAAAACAGGAGGTAGGTGGTACACTCAGTACTAGAAACAGGAGGTAGGTGGTACACTCAGTACTAGAAACAGGAGGTAGGTGGTACACTCAGTACTAGAAACAGGAGGTAGGTGGTACACTCAGTACTAGAAACAGGAGGTAGGTGGTACACTCAGTACTAGAAACAGGAGGTAGGTGGTACACTCAGTACTAGAAATAAGTGCAGAAGGTAGGTGTTTACATTCAGTAGATATTGGAAGCAAGACTGTGCTTCGAGCACAATCCTACTCCAAACTAGGGTATGGGTAGGGTTAGAACCCATGGCAAGCGAGTCGTAAAACTCCAGGCCAGTGCGTAAGCCACCAGGCCAGCTGGTGTATAAATATACTTAATTGGATGAATGTTATTGTAGCCAGCTGGCCCAGTGACTTACGCGCTGGCCTGGAGTTATACAACTCGCGCGCCATGGGTTTTAACCCCACCCGTACCCTGATTTGTTTACAATCGTGTTATTACGATTTGGCGAGTCATGAATTCTACTGCTGTAAAAATAAATAGGTAACATCTCTCACACACAATGTGTAGCAGGTTAAGTAACACGTTACCTCCTTGTTCTCCTCATCCTTGTGTTCCTTGCGTTCCTTGGTGGTGAGGAGCTGTTCCTTGATGGACGCCACGCTGGCGGGGGTAGAAGCGGGACCAGTAGTGTTGGCAGGGGGCGGGGGCGGCGCCGTGGAGGGGGCTGTGACGGGAGGGGCTGGAGGAGCCGTGGTGGGGGCAGCTAAGGGGGTCCCGCCCCCACCCCCACCTGATCCTCCTCCCCCACTGCCACCATCCGTCTTGAAAAACATCTCCCGCTTACTCTGCAACTGGACCACAAGCACTTGCTTAATAACCTGCCTCACCATAACCACTTACACAATACTATAACACAATGATAACCACTAGAGTAAAATAATAAACAACACATCACAACAATGATGTTAAAGTGTTTCAGATTTTGCCACGAGGGGCTAGTTTATTAGAGCAGGACAATGATTAGTGTAATAATAGTAAAGTAGGGAGTGCAATATTGTAGCAGTACTGGTTATATTGCACATGAGGCAGAGATAACAGCAGCAGCAACAAGATGAAAAGTTGAATTTGTATTGTAGCAGGTCAGAGCTACAGGTTATACCTGTGTTGACTCAGGTAAAGGAAGCAGGTGTAACATTTACAGAACACTGGAACTACAACGTTACTCAGTGCTCTACATTACAACATCCCTCACCACACAAAGAACAATGATGTTATATTTACAAAACGTTTGGAAATATGTCAGAACGTTTGACAAAGTTAAATGCAACCGTACACATCACCACTCAAAAAAAAAAAAAAACTTTCAAACCAACTAGCATACACAAAATAAATGGTATCATTCTAAGTGAAAATAATCCAAATCAATTTAAAAATTAAAATAACTTCAAAAAATTATTCCAAGTCTTCCCAGAGGTCCCTACAGGCATCTCAGTAATTATAAAAATCTATGACTTGTGTGAAAAGATGAAAGTCGTGGACAAACTTTTAAAATGTGTTCCACGGTTAAAATGTCATAAACGAAAGATGCAAAGAGATGAGCAGGATCCCTGGCGAGCAGGTAACAATAACTGAGATATGTGCGTCCAGTCCTCGATTAACAGAGAACAATCTCAAAATAACAATTCATGTGTAAAGCGGAGGGCCAGACACCATCATCTGTCAATCTTCAATCACCTACAAAGCTCACCGGGCCCACCACTTCCCTAAGAATAACTGAAGGATAAAACTGTTATACAATGAATATAATAGGGTAACCTTGGCCTCAGCATCAGCCAGTCCATTACCAGGAACACCAACATGCCCGGGGCAACAACACAATACGTAATTATTACGGCAATAGACACCGGATTATGAGTGGTGAATCTTCTGGGTCAAAGGATGCACGGGGGAGGGGGGAGGGGGAGGGAGGTAGATGAGAGCCTCACACCACCTGTAACTCAACAGGTGCCTCTCAATTTCAACACGAGTTAGGTACATTATTAAGAGTGTCACAAAGTTGAGCCAGACAAAGTTGAGTGAGAGTGTCAGAAATCTGTGTTGAAGCAACAAATATATGAACGTGCAAGTGAACCTTCTTGCACAATACCTTCAACACTACATATCAACCTTATATATAACACTCCTACCTCCCTTCATGAAGGGAGGCTCCTTCACGCTGGTGAGAGACTCTTGATCGAAGGAATTGGCTCGGCCCGCTCTTGAATCGAAGCTGCTTCCCCGGTCACCTATGCTGTTGCTGCTGGCGGCCACCTGGCTAACATATCAGTCACAGCCTGGTTGATCCGGCACTTGGCAGAGGAAATATTTACTTTCCTCTCGCCAGTGTTTCTGATATCTTTTGGCAAGATATTAAAAAAAAAAAAAAAAAAAAAAAAAAAAGGTCCGGGACGAAGCATGATGATGTAGGAAAGTTCTCGAGGCCCATCAAAAGTGTACCATAAATCAGACATGTGGAACACTTGGGTATCTTTATTATGGAAATGTTTCGCCACACAGTGGCTTCATTAGTCCACTACAAAAACTAATGGTGAAGATCAGAAGGAGTCTGAGGTAATCAGTCCCTCAGCCTGGAGTTGATGTAATCGACTCCATTATTAAAGTATTCTTGATTAGTTAGTGAACAGGTGACACGCAGCCTTAATGACCATCATGTCTTGATAGGCTCTAAACCCCCATTAACCAACCACAGAATTAGGATACACAAGATAAAAATACATAAAGAGAAAATAAGAAAAAATAATGGTATCTAAATAAAGGGCTTGAAAATATTTAAGACAGACAGAACTCGCAACACTGGATGAAAGTTGCATACATTCTGACTGAGAAATGCTATAGGGAAGTATTACTGAGGAATATGATGGTAAATGACACGAAGTGTGTGGTTACTGATGCAGTGTTATAAGCATAGTAACAGGAGCAGTGTATAATATAAACAGTTGTAAAAACAACGTATTGGTCTAGTTACTGAAGAAAAGTACAACTGTAGAAGTAGTGTACAAGTGTTATTATCTTAGTTTAAGTAACTATTACCTTTACAGAACAAATGAACTACAACACACACACACACACACACACACACACACACACACACACACACACACACACACTAAGCAAACATGAGTCAGGAAAACACACCTTGCACTTCAATGAATTAGTCAGCGGCGGAAAACACAACGAACAACTGGTTGCTATTAACAATAAAAATAATAATAATAATAATAATAATAATAATAATAATAATAATAATAATTAAGGTATAACAGCTGACTGTATAATTGTTCCTACAAAATAAAAGCTGCTCTAACAGAAGAGTGAGAACTTGACTCGTGCTTCTGATAATATATAGTGACTCCTTCCTCACAATAAGTTTCACAACTACGTAAGAACCACAAAGGTAATGTAACCAGGATGTGCACTGTTTCAGTAATTATTCCCACCTCGCATGAGGCTACCTGAAAAAGGATCCAAAAATTAAATAAGTCGTACTGACTTTATTATGATTATTACAATCACTCTGTTTAAACTACTTGTAAAACTATTTGTAAATATTATTATTATCATTACCACATCAGACGAGCCTGATCCAAGGCCGGCCGCTGGGAGTAGAAAAACCTCTCGAAACTCATCAAAAGTTGCAGTCTTCCACAAACATAGAATTATTATTATTATTATTAATTATTATTCCTCAACGGCCATCTCCCGACATGGCTTGGTGATGCAAAAGAAAACATTTACCATCGTTCATTCAATCGCCGTCTTTCCGGAAATGTGCTGACATCATAACCAGATCACCCCTATAAGTGGAATATCCCCACCCCCTCCTCCAGAGTGCAGGCACTGACTGCCCTTCCTACCTCTATCACTCAAGTCCAGCTAACCAGCTTCCCTGAATTCCTTCATAAAAGTTCCCTTGCTCAAACTCCAACGGCACGTCCATTCATATTATTATTATTATTAGCTGGCTGCGGAAATGACGTCGTAGTGCTGATAAGCTCTACCGTTCACGCTTCCTCTTCCTATGGCATCCCAAGTTACATTCTCACCCAGAATAATAAAGTATAATCTTAATTTTTAAAGGTGGTAAATCCGCAAGCCAGCGGAAGACGTCGGACAAGAGCTCCAGTGGCCAGTCATCATGTGACTCAGACCCGCGTCAGGAAACACTTGCTCTGTTTCCTGACGAATCTTGCCTAACATAATCGCCCAAACTAATGGTCTTAAACAGAAAATTAAAGTTTGGTATAAAGTTTCACAACACTGGAGGTCCCTACAGGTACTCTAGGATACAAATCACAACACTGGAGGTTCCTTAAGGTACTCTAGGATACAACTCACAACACTGGAGGTGCCTTGAGGTACTCTAGGATACAGCTCACAACACTGGAGGTTCCTTGAGGTACTCTAGGATACAGCTCACAACACTGGAGGTTCCTTGAGGTGCTCTAGGATACAACTCACAACACTGGAGGTTCCTTAAGGTACTCTAGGATATAACTCTCAACACTGGAGGTGCCTTGAGGTACTCTAGGATACAGCTCACAACACTGGAGGTTCCTTGAGGTGCTCTAGGATACAACTCACAACACTGGAGGTTCCTTGAGGTACTCTAGGATACAACTCACAACACTGGAGGTTCCTTGAGGTACTCTAGGATACAACTCACAACACTGGAGGTTCCTTGGGGTACTCTAGGATACAACTCACAAAAGGCGGTTAACTAATGAGAGTTTATTTACGGCTAGAGAATAAAGACAGGAGATACAAGGGAACTTGCGTATACGTCTCTCCTCGCCTCCAATTGAACCTGGAACCTTTTGGTTGTGAGCTTAATACTCTGCGATCGAGCTAGGAAAGCACCTTAGTTGTACTCACCTAGTTGTGGTTGCTGGGAGCAAGTGTCTGCTCTGAGCACCACATCTCTACTACTCAAAAATAACTACACTAATCCTTGCTTTATGGGCTCTTTATACTCTTAAAAAACTCTGAATAGACTCAGCTTCCGCCAGTTCCTCTTGCATATGATTGTACTCCCTAAGCACTCTCAGACAGGAAACGTACTCATAGTTTCAGACATCCTTTCTGCTGTGTGTGTGCTGTAACGGTGTGTAATGTGATGTGCTGGATACTACACTTCTCACTGGTCCGTCAATCACAGCCACTAATTCCAGTAAAGTGCCTCAATTGGACGTAGATTGGGTGGCCAGCGTCAATTTAAGAGAGTCTTCAGCACAATGGGCCAACCTTTAATTTGTGGCAAGACAGTAATCAAGCAATGTGACCGTGATCTGAGTCGAACCCGTGGAATATTAGCCTCCTACCAACTTTCCAACACGGAACACGCCGCCGGCGAGATACCACCACAGGCAGCCCTTCACCAGTGTGACACTGTAAATGGTCCAAGTCGGACCGAAACGTCGTCGTAAGCTCCTCTCTTGTATGTGCGGGTTATTGGTGTATCGTTCCAATCACGGTATTGTGCCTTTTATTGTTATTTATACCTGGTTCTTCCGTAACTGACAGAAGTAGTCTACTACGTAGGCGAAACGTTTCATCAATAAAAATACCCAACTGCTGCACATGAGTCTTATTCTTCAACTTGTCGGTATGTTATACCATTTTCAACATGAGTAAACCTTTGTAGATGAATGGTTCAGAGGACCGACATGTTGATAAATTAGACACATGTGCAACTCTTGGGTATCTTTATTGCGGAAACGTTTCGCCACACAGTGGCTTCATCAGTCCATACATAGGAGAAACTTGAAGAACAGGAGGAGAATGAGGTAATCAGTCCCTCAACCTTGAGTCGATGTGTTCAGTCCATCAATCTTGAGTACTGAACACATCGACTCAAGGTTGAGGGACTGATTACCTCATTCTCCTCCTGTTCTTCAAGTTTCTCCTATGTATGGACTGATGAAGCCACTGTGTGGCGAAACGTTTCCGCAATAAAGATACCCAAGAGTTGCACATGTGTCTAATTTATCAATGAGTAAACCTGCCTAGCATGGGCCAGTGGACCTGCTGCAGTGTTTCTTCCTTTTTCAGTGGGTGTGACTTTACAGCCCCCCCCCCCCCGTCTACATCCATCTTCACAGACCCCACACGCCCATCTTTACGCCCCCCCTCCACACACACATTTACAGCTCCCCCCACTCACACCCATCTTCACAGCCCACACATACCCATCTCAGCCCACACAGCTTTCGCAAGGGCATAAGACGTGTTATATATAGAGCACGACACGTGTATAAAAGTAGAACAAGTGATAGAAGCAATTGAGAAGAGGCGCGGCTCAGCGCCTTGAGTGCAAAGTAAAGCTTATCTTAAGCAGGTTGAAGCACGACCTTCAATACAGCAGTTACAAGACGTAGTATCCCCACCATGACCTGCTCCTCACGTCTCTCACCTAACGTGATTTACAAGACCAAGAAATTCCTAGTAACGATGTAATTGGTGTCGTGTGAGGCTAGGGAGGAGGGAACAGGAGGGAGGTACGTTTAGGGGGGATAAGGAGGTAAGAAGATTAAGAAGGGAGGGAGGATAGGAAGGAGAGGGGAGGGTGAAAGAGGGTGATGGCAGGAAGGAAAAAGTGTAGAAGAGCAAGGGGCAGGATGGAAAAAGGGACAGGCAGGATAGAGGGAGAAAAGGAGGGAGAAAAGGAGGGAGAAGGCAGGCCTACTGGCCCACACTAGGTGGGACCTTCCCAAAGCCGACCCTTCCAGTTCTAATCTACTTTTTGAAGGCATCAAAGGGGCACGTAAGTACCCCAGTCTTCTAATAACATGCTCATTTTTCCACTATAATCTACCTTGTCTACTATCACATCTGCTTTGTCTGTTTCGTAAGGTGAAGTCTAAGATCTTTCCTTGATTCATGGTATAACTTAACAAATCTTTGAGGACAATTGTGTTGTGAGGTCTGAGCAAACTTCAGAACTCTACAATAATCTACACTATAACCTACAAGGTAGATTATAGTGAGAAAATGAACATGTCATTAGAAGACTGGGGAATTTACGTGCCTCTTGGATCACTCTACTCGGCAGACTGTTCTCTACAATTCTATTTCTAAATCAGTACTTTCCCATATCCATTCAAAGTCTGAATTTATCTAACTCAATCCATTATTTTGAGTTACTACTTGGTTATTTATTTTCAGAGCTCTGTTTATGTCTCCATCATTTATACCAGTCATCCACTTGCGTACTCTATCATATTTCCACTCTCGCTCTTTCAAGAGAATGCAGGTTTATAAGAATATAAGAAAGGAGCACTGCAGCTGGCCTACTAGCCCATGATAGGCAGGTCCAAGTTACCTACTGGCTTAAGCTAATCAAGTTCAAGTCAAATCTACTTAACTCCAGGTAATCAGACCTATTAGCACAAGCTAGTCAGGTCCAACTCACACTCACACGTGCATTTGTCTAATACAAGTCTGACCTGGAGGTTATTCCGGGGATCAACGCCCCCGCGGCCCGGTCCATGACCAGGCCTCCCGATGGATCAGGGCCTGATCAACTAGGCTGTTACTGCTGGCCGCACGCAGTCCAACGTACGAGCCACAGCCCGGCTGATCCGGCACTGACTTTAGGTATCTGTCCATCTCTCTCTTGAAGGCAGCCAGGGGTTTATTGGCAATTCCCCTAATGCTTGATGGGAGGCTGTTGAACAGTTTTGGGCCCCGGACACTTATGGTGTTTTCTCTTAGTGTACCAATGGCGCCTCTACTTTTTATTGGGGGCATTTTGCATCGCCTGCCCAGTCTTTTACTTTCGTAGGGAGTGATTTCTGTGTGCAGATTTGGGACCATTCCTTCCAAGATTTTCCAAGTGTAGATTATGATATATCTCTCCCTCCAGCGTTCCAACGAGTACAAGTCAAGTGCTTCCAAGCGTTCCCAGTAATTAAGGTGCTTGACAGAACTTATACGTGCAGTAAAGGATCTCTGTACACTCTCTAGATCTGTGATTTCACCTGCTTTGAATGGAGATGTTAATGTACAGCAGTATTCCAGCCTAGAGAGAACAAGTGATTTGAAAAGGATCATCATGGGCTTGGCATCTCTCGTTTTGAAAGTTCTCATTATCCATCCTATCATTTTCTTTGCACGTGCGATCGTGGCACTGTTGTGATCCTTGAAAGTGAGATCCTCAGACATTACTACTCCCAGGTCCCTTACATTATTTTTCCGCTCTATTGTATGGCCGGAGTCAGTAGTATACTCTGTTCTAGTTATTATCTCCTCCAGTTTTCCATAACGGAGTAGTTGGAATTTGTCCTCATTGAACATCATATTGTTTACCGTTGCCCACTGGAAAACTTTGTTTATATCTTCTTGGAGGTTAACCGCGTCCTCAGCAGATGACAGCCTCATGCAGATCCTAGTATCATCCGCAAAGGATGATACGGTGCTGTGGTGTATATGAGGATAAGGAATAAGATGGGGGCGAGTACTGTGCCTTGTGGAACAGAGCTCTTCACTATGGCAGCCTCCGATTTAACTCTGTTGACCACTACTCTTTGTGTTCGATGTGTTAGGAAGTTGAAGATCCATCTTCCCACTTTCCCAGTTATTCCTTGAGCACGTATTTTATGGGCTATTACGCCATGATCGCATTTGTCAAATGCTTTTGCAAAGTCTGTGTATATTACATCTGCATTCTGATTTTCTTCCAGTGCATCCAAGGCCATGTCATAGTGATCCAGTAGTTGTGAGAGGCAGGAGCGACCTGCCCTGAACCTATTTTAAAACTACAGAAGGTTTTAGCTTCAATGACACTACTCGGGAGTTTGTTCCACTCATCCACAACTCTATTACTAAACCAGTGCTTTCCTATATCCTGTCTGAATAATTTTTTCCAATTTGAAACCACTGCTGCGAGTCTAGTCTTGATTTGCTAATTTTAGCACGTTATTTACATCCCCTTTATAAATTCTTAATATAGTGGAATAAAATACCGACAAGTTGATGACTATGACACATGTGCAACAATTGGGTATCTTTACTGTTGAAAAGTTTCCCTACACAGTAGGCTTCTACAGTCAAATACAGAGGCACCGGATGTAGTAGTGAAATCCAGATGATGTAATCAGTCCATCACCCTTGTAGTAGTAGTATTAGAGGTGGTCAGTCCCTCAGCCTGGAGAAGAGTTCAGCTCTATGGTCTAGGACGATATATCGTTCCAAACCATGGACTAGGGGAGGGCTGGAAAAATCGATTGAGGGAAAGGGCAGACGAGGTAAAGGGGAGAAGAAGGAGGGTAGGGGAGGGAAAAGAGAGCAGGAGAAGCAGAGAGAAGGAAGGGGAAAAAATTATCAAATCAGAGAGTAAACTAGAGACAGGTTGGGGAATGTAGTAGTCAAGAAGGTAAACAAATATAGTTAAAGTGGAGGTAAACAACAGATAAAGTGTAGGATGGCTGGTAAAGCGGAGGTAAACAAGTAAAGTGGAGTACTTACAGTTTTCTGTGAGCGAAACATAGCTACGTTGTAAGAGCTAGGGTGGTGCTGAATAATATAGTGGTCACACACACTGGGTGTTATCCCATCCTAGAGTGACGCTCTCACACTACACACCTTCACAACACTCGCTCTACACCACAACTGCCACCCTCCTGCGCTTTACCAATTAACTCGCCACTATTTTATAATATACTATTGATATTTTCCTCTATTATAACTCAAACTAAAATTGTTCTATTATTTTCCCGGTATTTCACTTGGAAAACAAAATTATACCATTTACAATATTGTAAAGATAAATCACTTCCAACAAAACTGTTGATTATTTTTCAGTATTGTTTTCAATAATTTTTGTCAAGATGCACAATGCAGGTGACAGAATAGTTGAGTTGATCAAAGCGTCCACAGACTAGGAGCTATGAGTGACGCTGCTACCTTCACACTGGAAGAAAATGGTCAGAGAATAAATTGTTAACCAGCCTCTTGGTGGGTCACCAGTATATGGTGGGGCTGAGTGCTGCTGACACCTGCTGACCCTGATCCACAACACCTTAAGTCCCACACCACTACTGCCACAACCTCATCTGATCTCCTGGGTAGCTTGCCGAGTGCCACAAAGATCTGATTCCTCATACACTTCCTGGAAAATGCGTTGTGTTTGCTGATGCAACTTTCTGAGTCTTGCAAGGAAATCACTGGCTGATGGAATGGTGTGAATGCCCGCTGTCAGACATGGGAGCTGGGCTGACTTCAACATTACATCCCCGGAGATTCCGAAATGACCATGTGGCAGGTTGAGTGAGAGTGGTGAAGACAACGTGACTGTGCGGGGGGTGGTAGTGAAGGCAGTGTGTGTGTGTGTATGTGTGTGTGGGAGAGAGAGAGAGACACCAGACTGCCACCACTAGTATCGTAACACTGGCACTACCACTGATAATACTTACTCTGCTCTACAAACCCCACCATCGACGTGCCGGATGTGACATGGCGCAAGATAAGATTTCTGTACTCAACGCATCGCTGCTCTCTCAATGGTGTACTCACCCATTTGTGTCAACCGGAGTCAAGTTCTCGCTCCTGGCCACACCTAGTAAGCTCCAGGAGCTTTGAGTCGACCCCTGCAACCACATTTAGATGAGTACAGCGGCTAGCGTGCTTGACTTCGCCCGAGAGAAGTGTGGTCGCACTGCCTACAGCATGGAGGGACATATGGGCATCTCTTAGCACCTAACCTGTGAATTACTCACTGCTGTGGGTCGGATCCTGCCTTGAGGAGGACCTAAAAAGGAACCCCAGTGAAAATAAGCTGCACTGTTTGGCTTTATTGGATTATGGTATTAAATTACTAATTCTTCGGGCTTAATATTGCGAATAAAGTCTTGTAAATAACAAAAAGGCACAATACCGTGACTGGAACGATACACAAATAACCTGCACATAAAAGAGAGAAGCTTACGACAACGTTTCGGTTCAATTTGGACCATTGACAAAGTCACACTGTGTGACTTTGTCAATTGTCCAAGTCGGACCGAAACGTCGTCGTAAGCTTCTCTCTTTTATGTGCGGTTATTTGTGTAATAAAGTCTTGTTTCTGTTCTTCATGTAAGACAGCAAGTGAATCTTCCACTTACATTCTAAAAAGTTCTTAATCCTTCACTGTTGTACAGCCCTTGTGGCTTAGCGCTTCTTTTTTATTATAATAATTAATCCTTCAGTTCTTCCTTTACAATTTAGTAGATCTGGTCTGATCGCAGAAGACTTTGTCACCTGCGTTTGATTTTATAGCTTGTGGATCACACTGAAGGAAAAGTAATCACTTCTTACATTGCAATTTAGAAGATGCACTTCCTTCCCCCTTCCCACCCGTATGACTTTATCTCAATAACTGTTATAAACACCAGCTGGTTCATTACACAGGATTTCCCATTTCTGAGTGTGTTGGTCGTCCCCGGTGTAACTCTTCCTCTCCAGCACCCTCCTCTTGACTATCTTCTCCACTACTCCGGACAGGATGCATGTCAGTGACACCACCTGTCTCCTCCCCATCAATACATGAAACACAGTAACTACCTTTTAACTAGATTCTCCAGTCTTTAGCGATGTATAAGATCTCTGCTATGGTCTTACAACGGTTCAGTATCCTTGGAGATATGTTGCCACTTTTCATTGCTTTTGTTGTGTCCAGTTCCTTCAATGTCTCCTGGGTCTTTTAGTGAGGTCTGATGTCTTCCGAGTCACAGTTCCTCTACTTTTATTTGTGTGTATATTTATCTATTGTTTATTTGGACATGATACATAGGTGTACAAAGAAATATAGTGATTGGGTGTACATGCCAAAAGCTCCTTGTATGCAGAGCATTATAGGCAGACTTAAAATTAACTTAAGATTAGCTAAGCAATGATATATTCACTGGTAAAAATTATAGTAAACAAATTACAACATGAAGTACAAACGAGTATTTTAAATAAGAAGAATTAAAGTTGTACAAAATTGTAACATAACAATGTACAATATAATCGAATCAGAACGAGTAAAATCAATGATTTGTAGTGCAGAAACAAGTCATATGGTCATTAGATGAGTTACTGTACATTCAAGACAATGGGGTATACTACTGGGTAATGTAATTAAAACAAAAAAACCATAGTTTGATAGGGCCACAGGTTATACATTTATCTTTTCTTTCTTTCAACAAACCGGCTGTATCCCACCGAAGCAGGGTGACCCAAAAAGAAAAACAAAAGTTTATCTTTTTAACTTTAGTTTATATATATATATATATATATATATATATATATATATATATATATATATATATATATATATACATGTACACGTACATGCATGTACACGCACATGCATGTACACGCACATGCATGTACACGTACATACATGTACACGTACATACATGTACACGTACATTCATGTACACTCACATGAGTTTTCTTCGTTTTCTTAATATTTCTCGTTCTTATTTATTTTTCCTTTCATCTGCATGGGGGGAAGTGGAAAAGAATCCTTCCTCCGCAAGTGATGCGTGTGGTAAGAGGCAACTAAAATACCGGCAGCAAGGGGCTAGTAACACCTTCTCCTGTACAAGTTACTAAATGTAAAAAGAAATAAAACTTTGTGAAAGTGTTTCTTCTTTTTCGAGTGACTGTTCCTCGGTGGGAGACGGCTGGTGTGTACCTGGACACTTGCTTGTTAATGTAAATAGCCATGAGCAACGGTCTGGTTGACCAGGCAATGAAGAGAGAGGCATGACCCAAGGACGGGTCACCAGAGTAAGAAAACTCTAAACAAGTATGATGGAATGAAGTGGAAGGTGAGAGTAAAACTTGTTCACTTATCACAACCTCATCCCCCCCCCCTTTACCAACACCAACACTCTCTCTCATTTAAAATTAATTCCTTTCTAAAATTTTATCTTATACGTTTAAAGATATATTTTTTCATTTATGATAATTTAAAAATTAATTTTTTTGTACCATAAGGAACCTTGGAAAACCTACCTAACCTTATTATAACAAGCGCAATTTAATTTAGCCTTATCCAACTAAATATATATTAGAAAAGCTTACAATAATTTAATAATAAACAAACACAATGAAATATAGTTTTTTTCGTTAGGTTCAGAATGATTTTTGCGAAATTATTTCATACACAAATTTTCGCTTGCCTTATTCGGCAAGAAGAGCGTTGCTATTTAAGCCAAAATCGCAAGTTTCACCTATTCAGCCGACATACGCACGCACACATTATATATATATATATATATATATATATATATATATATATATATATATATATATATATATATATATATATATATATATATATATATACCAATAGGAATATTTTATTACATAATATGGTACAGAAGATTTAAGAGATACATTGTTGATATAAAGGTGAAATATAAGGTACACACACACACACACACACACACACATATATAAATATATATATATATATATATATATATATATATATATATATATATATATATATACATACATACACACACACACACACACACACACACACACACACACACACACACACACAATGTTTAACAATTCGCAAAAGGGAGAACTGATAACTGCTCATTCACTTAGGAAAGCAAAGCTCATTTCCAAGTGTTTGTTACCAGGTTTTGCTCTTACTGGAAAGTATTGGCTTGACAATGATAACATTCTCATGCACCCAGATTGGATGTGGTATTTACACAGGTGAGAGCACCTCATTCATTGTGTGTAAAGTCCATGATGGGTGTGCGTGCGTACTTAATTACGTAATGTTAATGGTCGTGTACTTGTTCCTTGTAGCTTAGCTTACACCACGGATACCATGACGTATTGCTACTGACAAGAGTAAAAACAGAAAAGTTGCAGAAGCAGTTCCTGTACTGGATGTTTCGCTATATGTAAAGCATTATCAAACCACAGAATCGTGATGTGGTAAACCTCGACACCGAGCAAAACGTTGTCCCAATAACAACCTGTTACATAAGGAATAACTGGAAAGGCAGGCAGGTGGATATTTAACTTCCTAACATATAGAATCCAATAGAAATGGTACACAGAGTGAAAAGTTGTCCCCAAAGGCACGGCACTCGACCCACTTGTTTCTCATATCTGACAGACAGGCACATTAATCATAGCACTACCATCCCCTGTGGACGATACCAGAATTATTATGAAAGTGGCATCCATACAAGGCGCAGCGAGTCTCCAAGTTAATATAAACCAAGTCTTCCAGTGGGCCGCTGAGAACAATATGACGCTAAATTTACGGGTTATGCTGTCCACTCTCAGCAACCCTGGGTATCTGCTCATTAAATCTGAATTGATATACCTCAGCAGAAACAGGGACGCCCAGTCTTTATTTAATCTCTGGCCTCCAACATTCCCCCTCTCTAACTTCTTGAGTGGAGGGTGAGGTAGGTGGAGGGTGAGTGAGGTAGGTGGAGGGTGAGTGAGGTAGGTGGAGGGTGAGTGAGGTAGGTGGAGGGTGAGTGAGGTAGGTGGAGGGTGAGTGAGGTAGGTGGAGGGTGAGTGAGGTAGGTGGAGGGTGAGTGAGGTGGGTGGAGGGTGAGTGAGGTGGGGGAGAATGTGGTGGGCGGTGAGTGTGGTGGGTGGAGATGGAGCACAAAGCAGCAAAGGTAATAACGTCACAAACGTAAGCCATACCTTGGAGACGATGGGCGGGTGTGCTGATGGGAGGGAGGGAGGGAGGGCAATATGAGAGCGGAGGGACAGAGACCACCTTCACAGAGCCACACAAGGGAAGTCCTTGTTCACATGCTGCATTGCTGCCTTAACAGCACGGCACGGCACGGAGGGCACGGGAGACAAGCGAGAGAGAGCTGGGAATGAAGGTAGGGTTGGGAATGAATGCAAGGCTGATGGCAGGGCCGGGAATGAAGGCAAGGCTGATGGCAGGGCCGGGAATGAAGGCAAGGCTGATGGCAGGGCCGGGAATAAAGGCGAGGCTGATGGCAGGGTCGGGAATGAAGGCAAGGTTGATGGCAGGTCCGGGAATGAAGGCAAGGCTGATGGCAGGGCCGGGAATTAAGGCAAGGCTGGAAACGAAGACTGAATAAATAACTGAAAATGACGGGAAGGCTGGGAATGAAGGAAAAAAATGAGGCGATGGAAAGACTTCAAAAATTACATACATAAAATAATAAAAAAATATTTATTTCACAAATACATAAATATATAAAAATTTTAGGAAATGCACACAACATGCGGAGAACTTTCAGGTACTGTTAATTAAGCTGGTAAAGACCTACGTAGCAAGTCTATGTTTATCGTCATGCCAGAGTGTCATCCTCGTGTGTGACGTACATCTGCCCCACACACAACTCCCGGGACTAGTCCTTATAGGATTTTCCAGGTGTAAATTATAAGTATCT